ACAATCACACACAAAGCACAACGCAAGCTACAAATGTTGTCTACAAAGAAGTTTTTTCAAATTTTGTATATCTCATGTTTGTTATTCAACCTTAGTTCTTATAATTGATGCAACAATATGTTTTTTGAGAATATTTTTTTAATTATATGTATTAAGCTTTTGTTGTGCATCGCATGGGTGAGCTGCTAGTTATTTTGTAATACTAAATAAGTATATAAATATCATTATAATATGAGAATATATGAATTATAAAATATGAAAGTGTAAATGTGAATAGAGCAAAATTACTAATTGAGAAATTGAGAATTGAGAGTAGGGAACGGACGGTCCCGGTCCCCAAAAAGCGACCCGAGATCGAGTCTGTAAGTACCCGATCCTAGACCGGAACCTAAAAACATGACCCAGTCCGGTCCCGCACAATAGCGGACCCGTTTCCGGACCTGTCTGGGACCGCCGACCGGGTCCATGCCTACGAGCAGGCGAGGTCCAAGGAGGCAAGGAACGCTATCGGCGTCCAGCGATCCAGATAGAGGAGCTACGAGGACGAGTGCACAAAGAGTGAAACGTCTAAATAAATTTAGTTAACTAGATTTTTCAGTCAGTAAACAATGCATTATTTGAAAATATATATAAATGTTGTGATAAAGATAGAACAACACATATATTGTTTTTAACAAAAGGAAATGAAGATAAAAAATTAAAAATTATTCTATACTTCCTTGTAAACAACATTTGAAGTCTTCTTAACCGATTTTCATCATCACATATAGTAAACTTCAACCCAGAAGATGACGTTATTCTTGCATAAAGTAAGCTAATTTTAACATTATCAAACATACTTTTATTTGAAGTCTATGCTTCAATTCTTTTTACATCTTTTGCAGTTCAATTTATTTTATGAAAAAGTGAAAGTTTTTGGTTGTACAACATATTTATTAGAGATTAATTTTTCGTATCTAGCATGAAAGTTTTAATAGACAAAAATGAGTTTACAACTTTTATTGATTATAATTGTGTTTGAAGTTTACATCATATTAACTACATAAATATACATATAGCCATTAGGCATTAGCCACTACTTAATAATGTGAACACAACCATAATCAAAAGTTACTGAATCACATCTTAATAGTTAGGTATACAGTTAGGAGTTTCCATATTCCATGACTATACATAAACCCTAATGCTTTAGGGTGCACTACAGACAGGGGCAAACACAGGCTGGGAAGATGACCAATGGGGGGCTGCGCTGCCGCCTCCCCCCTCCACACCAATGCTTCTAAGTTGCCATAATTATTCAACTCATTTTAGAAAATATGTATAATTTGGTAATCTTTATACATACAATAACCACATGTAAAATCAAAGTCTGCTGTAGCATATTTGGTTCTGATATCCTACCATTGTCACACGGCATAATAACACCCAACTTCAATTATGTGAAGATGAAAGATCACAAACAGGTCATTGTGACATTCCAAAAGCCATATCTCGATAAGAGGAATAACTAGGACATAAACAAAGCATGTCAGTAGAGCTCTGATGTTTGTGTTACACCAAAACTTGGTAGTCCAGATTCATGTGCATGATGATTCGCCAACACTACGTGGACAAAACATTCTTTCTCTCGTGGGGTAATCCGTGATATGGCAACCCAAATGATGATATGATATTATGACGCATTTGGTGAGGATCAAACTGCTGATAATATGAAGGTAATTATTATATTCATGAACTATATGTAAATTTTCCAAATAAAATCATGTAAACAACACTGTTAAATGAAAATTGGTGAAATTCACGAGAATAATCCCTACTTTTATGGATTATACAATAATAATCTCCATCGATTGTGTCCATAAAAATAATTCGTACTAGCAATAGTGTCTACATGAATAAATTGGAGTGAATTCGAACTAATGTCAATTTAGTACTCCCAACCTCTACCTCCACTTTCCCCTCCACAACTCTTCATCTTGGTTAAAACTATTATGTTTCAACCTAGAGAAAACCACATATGGCGGAAATGGTGTTGAGATTAAACGGGTTTTAGTTTGAACTTGTCCCGAGAAGAAGAATGGGGAAGAGAAATGTGGAATTAAGAGTTCAGAATATTAAAAGGGCATTAATTTAAATTCGCCCCATTTTATTCTTATGAAATCATTCCTAGTTCAGATTATTTTGCTGGACACTCTAAGTAGGGACTATTATTGTAGATCCCTAAAAGTATGGATTATTCTTATGAATTTCACCATGAAAATTAAGGTAAAGTTGTACTTTTCATCCATTTCAAAACATTTCAAAAAATAACTAATACACCATTTCTCCACTGCCTACCAGTTTAGTATGCACAGTCAACTAAGTTAGCTTTTCCGTTAAAGAAAGAGGAGAGAGAGAGAGATTTTAAACAACAGAAAAATAAGCACAAATAGTTAGATGCCATCAAACCTTTGATCACACTGTGGCTAGAATGAAAGAGGTTTTAGGTAACCAGATAAGTCATTAGGCAATCACACACTCTTGTGGCAAACAATAGCGTAAAAATATCTTCACTTGCTGAAGATGAATTTCAACCATGTAAAAAAACAGTAATTCTACAAATGCCCTGGTAAGTCCGCCTGTAAACATCACAATGATCAAGACAGTGAGCAACTCCACAAGCATCGTGCAAGGATCTAACACAATATCATACGTAAGAACAATAAACACATTATGAGTTCCAAAGACAACCAAAAGAGATGGAGACTTGAAAATGAAAAAGGCAGACCCATCAACTTACACTACTCCAAGTGAAGGAATGTCCATCACTCGAAATCAACCTGTTACAATCCTTATTTTGCAAAACATCTAACACACCATCCTCAAAATCTACTATCTCCTTAGGGTCAAAATTCCACCTCTTTTTCTTCTTGGGATAAGTTTTACTCCTCTTTCGTTTAGATCTACTTGAAGACCTCAAATCTCCCAGAATTTCATCATGATTTAACAATGAGTACTTTCCACACTTCTGAAAACCTATTCTATTAAAAGCAAACAAGGATTCCCAAGAATCAATGGTCTGAAATGCTTCTAAGAGTTGATAATGCATAGCACAAGCCTGCAAACCCAACAATTTCAGCATCTCTAAGAATTTCCTTTAAGCACAATCTTTAAGAATTGTATCAAAGCCAATATTCTTGAGTGTACACATCTGGGAAGCAATATTTTTTATTTTTTATTTTTCCTCCTCACCAGCTTCTTCGCGGACTAGTAACAAAAGTTTACGACTTTGAATTGTAATGGCATCTAACAAGAGTAGCTGATCGATAGAATTATTGCCGTGGCACTTCGCAAGCATCACCTCAAGCCAAGAAGATGGTTTATCACATTTCATGGTTTCCACACATGGGTTAAGATATATGGGGATCAAATCTAAGAAAACAAATATTTCTTCCTCCTCAAGCGCAACAAGAAGGTGATGACATAGAGTTGAAAAAGACTCTTCATTCAGAAAAGTATCTATAATTTCCCAGACATCCTTCATATTGTCTCTGTACAGTAGGTCAAGAAACATTTCAATGTACAGTAGGTCAAGAAACATTTCAATGAAAGTTCTTATCGATTGACAAAATTGCACCATCTTTTAATGACTCTGAAAAGTCAATAGATGACCAGAATTCATGTACGTATTCAACAAAGTTCTCTACGGTTCTCTCGACATCTAGATCAAGAAAGTAACGAGGGTTTGTGGCAACCATGGCTGGTGATTTCCCATGTTTGCCCCTCCACTCAAGCTCCTCCCAACAAATGTCACGATTCACAAAGGCGAATTGGGAAAATGCCTCAGCTCCCTTACCGTGCATACCAACAGACCCTCCAAAGTTAGAGAACCACCGTAATATATGCTTCGAGTTCCCTGCACGATTCATCTTAAAACATAAGAGGTCAACACATAGACATCATGATGTTTATTTTAGTAAAAGTGTTCACAGAACATACTGACTAAAACATGGGTAGGCACAACCACACAGTGAAGCAATGCAAACAGCCCAGGCGTGCATCCATAAAAACATGTCATGATTTTCTCTATCATCATCCAGATCTAATATATAAAATGCATAGTAGTCAATGGCGAGATATGGCACGCGCCATATGCGCCATCGCCATGAAAAAGTGGTCATCACCATAGCGCCATATGTGCCATATGCGCCATTTGTATATGCGCCATCGCCATGCGCCGTGAAAAATGTCTTTGAGCCATGGCTATCACCATGCGCCTTGATAACTATGATAAAATGTCAAAAGCAAGACTATTTTCTCCTATCAATTGTACATTGTACAACAAATTACGGAAATTTTGAAATTTATAGTTGCAATAAATCTGACATAACTACTAGATAAATTTTAAAACCTTTTTATCCAGAAAGAAGCAGATACTAATTTTCAGTAGAATGACTTGCCTTTAAAGAAATCTTCTAGCAAGTAACTTTTCTTTGAAATGATTGGTCCAACTAGGTGTGGATGCTTGTAAAAAATTAATTGTAAAATTTGTGCCGCCAGACGCTGCTGTTTGACTTTCTTTGACCTTAACAAGGCCAGAAATAGTTCTTGGTGATGACGGGGAGTCACAGAACTTATGTCTTTCAGTGAGTTGCAAAGCCGAAGGCGAGATTCAGATCGATGCCCAGATGATATCAGAGACCATAAAACAGATTCTAGCTCCTTTAGATAAGATTTGGTCTGATCAACTAAATTATTGTCTCTTTTCTCATCCGAGGGGGGTATAATTGGAGCATCTTAATCTGAAACATCAAATACCACAAAACCTTAGTCCAAACTTAGATGCCATTGTCATTAAATAACTCAATAACTGCACAAAAATGCAAGCTTTCACAAATTGTTAGGCCGGATTAATAAATTAACAAATCATAAATTCCAAAAAACAAGTCAAATCAATGCCTTAATTCACCAAAACATACATAAGTACTCCCAAACATCTCAAATAGTTCGAAATCCAACCCCACCCCCACCCCCCAAATAACAACTACACACGTAAGAACTGAGATGAAAATTATTCTTTTGTTTAATTCGAAGTATATTGAATTATGTTATGGCAATTCCGCTTGCGCGTAAGAACTTGCATCGTTGAATCAATGGAGACGACTGCTTAGTGGTGCTGATGTGGAAGTGCAAAGAGTAGAAAGTGTCTGATGGTCTGTCCCGGTTCAGCAAGCGTATCAAACATCGTGACTCAGCAAAAATTAACTTCCTATCGGGACTTTTGGCGGTAATAGAAGGCGGCAATCCAAAAATATCCGCCAAAACAAAAAATTCCACCTCTTAAAAAGCCAAAGAATAAACTAGGTATTCACATCTTCAGAACGACACAAGGAGGCGGTAAGTAGAAGGTTTTCTCCGCAGCTGTTCAAAACACGAAGCATCCAGGTAATTTTTAACTCACTCTTTTTAATTGGATTTATCAACTACGACATGTCTGCAATTTGATGATAAATTAAAGGGATATGAATCAAGAATCACAAGTAATTTCAATTACATCTACTTTAAGATAACTATGCTTAGTTCCTGTTTTTTAGATAAGTAATTTCAATTAAAATTTCTTTTTTACATCCACCAATTGTAATTTTCACATCTATGCTTCGTTCTTGATTTTTACATCTACCTTTTAATGTGATGCTTTTAAGTTAAAAGATGCTTTTCAGTCACTATTTTTGTCGTTCCTGCTCCAATTGAAGTTTTGATTCTGAATTTTACTTTCTACGGTGGTTGAAATCAAAGTAGGACTTTAGATTTTACTTTTAATTGTTAGGTATCACTAATAGTTCTTACATCTGCACTTTATCATTTGTATGGTTTAAGTCTCTCCACTTTTGTTAGTAGAAGCTCAATTTTTGAATTCTGCAATCATATAGATTCTGAAAAAATCTTTTGAATCTTAGTGTTCTGTTTTGTTAAATACCCTCTTGATGTATTGCTTCATTTTTCTACAATTAGTTAAGATATACCCATTTTAATTTAACTAAATGAGCTGTCAAAACGGAAGGGCAGAAACAATAGCAGTGGACCATAATGAAGAATATATCACATGCTATATATGATCCTATTAATGCAAATGCAAGAACTCTGATTATTTAAGAAATTCTCTCTTGAGCTTTGGTTCTAAGAAAGACATTAATTACACTAGTTTGTTCTCCAGCTTAGTTAATAATTGAGGTTTGCTTCTAGGTTTCGTTTGAATATGCATTATGTATCAATTACATTACCATTTTTCAGTTTTAGTCTTGAAATAGGTGGGCTATTTATGCTAATGAAATATTATTTTCTACATAGATGGAGCGACTTTGCATCCCTTTGTGTACCATGAACATCTCCAGAAAGATACTGAAGTAACCGATCACACTTCTCTTTATGGTAATGCTTCACACATCAACTCACAATCATCCATGTCTACATCTAACCAATACGGTCCATCAAACATGCCTTTTAGTCCTAATTTTATGATGAATTCATCATTTACTCCTCGAGCTCACTCACCTTTTGGATATGGATTCTCTTTTCAAGATCTTTTACACTCCCCTAATATTCCATTCGAGAATCCTGTTACTAATACAAGCACCGGACTAGATAAGAGTAACAAGGCCACACAAAATACGCGTATCTCTAACACAGTTGGAGGTAGCAAAAATTGGAGCAAAGATGAAGATGTAGCACTAACAAAGGCGTGGCTATATATTTCTGTTGATGCTTATGTCGGTAACAATAAAAAATTGCTAAAATGTGGAATCGTATACAACAAATTTGGAGGGAGAAGATGGGAACTTATGATGAGTCGCGCATTACAAATAGCTCACAATGTCGTTGGAATAAGATCTTAGCCGCAATTAATAAATTTCATGCATTGTATGAATGACTACAAAGAAATCAAAAAAGTGGAGCAAACCAAGAAGATATGGTAAACTATGCTTTCTAATTCTCTGTGTTGTTAAAATTTTAATCTTATTTCAATTTATATATTACTATTTGCCTTGATTTTATAGTGTGATGTTTGAGTGTGTGTATAAGAATTGACTTTTTATTTGTAGAGGCGAGAGGCAATGCGCATGTGCGAGGATATTAATCAAGGTCAGTCTTTCAAACATGAGCATTGTTGGGAGATCATGAAAACGAATGCAAAATGGTGCACGAAGGAGGTTACTAGGACCAAAGATTTGTCCGATCAAAAAGCTACCAATGCAAGTGGTCATACCCAAGTATCAACTCCACCAATGAGTTCAGGTAATGAAGACCAAAACTGTATCAATCTTGATGCTACTAGTGATGGTAAATGCAGTGATATTGAACGCTCTCAAGGACGAAAATCTACAAAAGAAAAAAAAGGAGGTTGAATGATGAAAAAAATGTCGTTGACGCTTTGAATAAGTTACACACGATGTTGGAAAAACAAGTTTCTATTAATCAGGAAGAGCTTGAATTGCGACAAAAGGTAATGCAAAAAGAGTTGGAATTTAAGGAAAGAGTTGAAAGGAGAAAAGAACTGAAGTCTATTTTGAATCAAGATGTCAACAAACTTCCCTTTAGCATGAGAGAGAAATTTGAGATGTACTTGGAGTGGACTGCCCCCGGCCTGGAACTGGACCGGCCCGCTACTGTACGGGCTCGGACCAGCCTGGTGAACCGGTTGGTTGCCCGGTTCGGGCTACCCGGCCCGGTGGGATGGCGGTTCGGGCTCGGGCCCTCCAAAAGGTGAACCGGCCCGGCCGGTTCGGGCCCGGGCCGGGCCAAATTATTATTAATTTTTTTGAATTTTTTTTAAGTTTTTGGGTTGGGTATTTTGGTCCATTTGAGGTGGTTATGGTTGGTTTGGGGGTGAGGGGGAGGGTTGGGGGTTAACTAGGAAAAGCCCAAAAAAAATAGAACCGAGGCCCGGCCCGGCCTGGCCCGGACCCGGGGGTTACCTGGGCAGGTTCCGGGCCTCCCCTTCATGAACCGAGGCCCGGCCGGGCCTGAACCGGAACCGGTCCATCCCTAAGATGTACCAATCTCAAATTTTAAAGGAATGGGAAAATAATGGACTATTTGGTAATTATAGATTTTCCTACCATTTGTGTTACTTTTAGCAATACTAGTTATGGACAATAATCTATTTAAGAACTCACTACTTTTATAATGTGTGACAGGTGTGAATAACAGTTAATGAAGTTCAGCAGCCAAGTATTATAACTCAGTGAAATACTGTGAAGGCCATTTGTTTATTGTTTATGATTTTTTGTTTCATTTGATATTCTTGAACACATCCTTTTATTTTTTAAAAGTACTTTTGTTTATGGAACATTAGACAACAAATTTGGTTTCTGTTAAGTATGATGCAATCTTCTTTTGAAAAGATTGTTGCTTTCTTTTAAAAACGATGGCTCTGCTTTCTATTAAAATTGATCACAACTTTTCTCATGAGCTAGTCAATGAAGTCAATGAAGCTGCATTTTTGTGGCATAAACAGTTCTTGAACGGGATTTAGATCTTGATTTTTGAGGGGTTACTAATACCAATATTAGAAGCACGACTCTCGTTTTCCGTACTTTCATTGTATAGAAGGAAAAATAAAATTCATTGGATGAGGGAAGAGTACACGTTGGGTAGGATTGGAGACACAAGATGGATATTCTCAGACTAGATAGTAATATAAAAAGCTCTTGAATCATCCTTTATTCTTAAACTAATTGATAATTTGATATATAAAATGCTGCTGAATCATCCTTTATTCTTAAACTAAATGTAAATATAAAATCTGCTGGATCATCCTTTATTCTTAAACTAAATGGAAATATAAAAAGCTACTGGATCATCCTTTTAAGCTAAGCTTCTTGAAATTTCTGTTTGAAGGATACAATAAAGGGGAATGATACAATAAAGGGCCTGAGGCAACATATTAAAAAGTCATGGTTTTTTATATAAAAATAATAATAATGAATGAATGCTTAATGTGAACATAGGAAAAGTAAATCTAGGAAAAAGTAGAATGAATGCTTAATGTTAACAGTATGTTTGAATTACTCTTATTTTCACCGGGTGTTCTGAGACTTTATTGTGAGTCTTCCATGTCGTCTTAGGGTGTCGTCTTTTCTGTATAAACTTTTTCTTTAGTCTTATTGCAGAAGAACACAAACTATTCTCAATTTATTTTGAATTAGCATGAATCGTAGCACCTTGGTTTAAAGAATAGTACGCACCACATTCCTTGAAAATACTACATACACAACTAACTTATTGATAATAATAAATTCAAAACTAAAGAATTCTATCAAATAACAAACAAATATCTGAGAAGAATAATTAAGAGTATAACATCATTTATTGAAACAATATTAAACATTAATGAGTATTATAAGACTTTCTTATTAAAAGATATAATATATTATCAGCTTGCTTGTTGACCACCATATAACTCCCATATATGATTGATGAGATCATTTTTTAAATCTCTATCAACTCGTTTGTCTCGAACTTGTTTCATTCTTCCGATCATTCTAGAGACAATAAAATTATAATCATGTTCTAATTCCACGTTTTCAACCCTTTCATCTCCAAGAGGTTGCCAATTTTCAGGATTCATTCCTTGGCTACTTTCACTCTCAATGATCATGTTATGCAAGATGATACAAGTCTTCATTATCTTCCCCAAATCCTTTTCATTCCACATACGTGCGGGACCTTTGACAATATGCCATCTACTTTGAAGAACCCCAAAAGCACGCTCCACATCCTTCCTTATAGATTCTTGGCATTCAAAAAATATTCTCTTTAAGAGAAGAAGGGTGAGAGATAGATTGCATTAATGTGGCATATTGTGGATAAATTCAACCAGTCAGATAATACCACATATCGTAATGATGACCTTGCACTACATAGTTACATGGTGGTGAAATACCATTAATAATATCATCAAATGGTGGAGATCTATCTAATACTGTTATGTCATTATTAGTACCAGTCATCCCAAAAAATGCATGCCAAATCCACAAATTTCTTGAAACTACAATCTCTAATATGAGAGTTGGAACTCGTTAAAAACCATTTGTATGTGTACCATGCCAAGCGGTTGGACAATTCTTCCAATGCCAATGCATACAATCAAGACCCCCTAACATACCAGGAAAACCTCGGCCTTCTCCTTCTTGAAGAAGGTCCAAAATATCTTTTTGGTTTGGTTTTCTCAAATACTCTTGTTCAAAAACACTTATCACAACATCACAAAAATGCTTAAGGCTTTGAATTGCAGTGCTCTCCCCAATTTGGACATATTCATCCAAAAGATCAGCTGGACAACCATACACAAGCACCTGCACTGCAGCTGATGGAGTATATGGGTCTGAGCCCCAGGACCCACATACTCGGAAGAACAGAGCACAAGACAACAGAGTGGCGCCCTCGTCGGCCAAGACGCCCCCGTCGGCCGAAAAGGGGCCAACTCAGATTACGGTCCTGAACCCAAGGAACTCGGGTGCCCTCGTCGGCCGCGCCCTCGTCGGCCGTGCCCTCGTCGGCCACGCCCTCGTCGGCCACGAAGACCTCCCAGAAACGGATTCTATACTTACTCATTTGTACAGCCCATTAGAGGCTTTGTATTCGGCCCAGTAGCGGTCCAGTTGTAAATGGGCCTCCCAAGCCCAAGGCTTGGGAGCCCAACCCTAATTTTCTCTATAAATACTCCCCTTGGGAGTAGTTATAGGGGTTTCGAAATCATTCTATTGAAGCATATTATTGCACTTCTCTCTCTAGCTCTCACCTCTCTCTAGATATACGCTATCAGCAACTATGGTTTTCTGTAAAGGACTTAATCCTTCTTTTCCGGTGGCATCGAACTTTAAAGAGAAGTAACTATCATTTTTTCGATTGCTTCCAAAATGCGAGTAAATAGTTTCACATCCATTCGGAATCTTCTCCGAAAATGATCTGAGGTATACTTTGGTTGATCACCATTGAAATAGTCTTTAATAATTACCTCATGACGTTCCTTTCTATCACGATGAATATAACGCCTCCGACTTGTTGTGCCTCCATTAGCATGCTTCTTCCCTCTTAACATTGTTGAAACTGTTATAGAAACATGGACGATAGTGGTATGAATCAAATCACAACTCATTTTTGAACTACTATCATCTTCTTTTGATAATTCACCGTATAATTTATTCGTCAAGGAGAACGCATCACAATCAGATGATGATCTATCACTATCAAGTTCTGACTCTGAAGAAGACATTACTATATTATACCTGTAGGTTCAAAGAAAAGTATAAGATTGAAAATAATTTCTTATTTTTTTAAGGTATATGTTGCTTCATATTGAAAATATTTTAATCTTTTAAGCATAAAGCATTTAATATAGTCTAGTGCTTAAAAGTCATATTGAAAACATTCTTAGTTTAGTGCGGCGGTGCGGCACTACATATACGTACATATATGTATTCTAGGTTTAAGTAGCTGATGCTCATCACAAGAGTAAAAAAATCAAACGGTGCTGACAGTAGTTAACCGTCATGGAAGCCGGAGAGAGCAAAGATATATGCATAAAGATGAAAAAAGTTCAAAATCATATAAAGAAGACGGACCTGAGGCTCTTTTTCAGATGGTGCATTTGGAAAAAGAAGACGTGCGGTTGATTTCAGTTATATGATGTGGCATATGAATAGGAAAGAATTTAACAAATCCACTACACTCTCGTGGGCCGTAAAAATTATACTTCATCCCTTAAAACTAAAACTTTGACACTTTCCCTTTTAATCAATTATTTTATGTTTTCTGTTATTTCACGTACGTTATATATATGTGACGTGTACATATACATGCTCTAAACAGCGGGAAAATACACACAACAATCCGATGTCTGTTGCATGTTTTATTAACGTTAAATGAAGCAACTGAATCGAAAATGTCGGATCGATCATGTCCACTGTCGTCGGAGGTACAACGACGACCCCCGCTAATCAAATCCACAATCTTTCATCTTCTCTTCAATTAAACATCAATAAATTCAATATACGACTGTTCGTTTCAATCCCCATAATATACACGTTCTTATGCGAGTTTAATCGCCCCATTCATTCATTTTATAACATTGTTTCAGAATTTTGAACTTTTTTCATCCATAAACCATCGCCAAGATCCAGCAGTGGCTGAAGTGTGAATAATGAGTGCCGCAGGAGAGGAAGAAGATCTCACGTTGGAGTACTCGCCGACGTGGGTGGTAGCCGCCGTCTGCTTTGTCATCGTCTCCATTTCCCTCGGCGTAGAACGCGTTCTCCACTTCACCGGAGAGGTTAATTACGTTCCTGCTCTATCATTGTCTTAATTTACCTCTAATTTTTGTTTTGTATTCAGTAAAAAAACAACAAATAGCAATTTGGAAAGATTTATACTCCCTCAGTCCCAAATGGTAAGAAACATGTACTATTCACTTGTTCAACATAAATCACTCTTAATCTTTTACTTTATATATCAAAGGTTTATGAAATTTGAATTACTTTTTGCAGGGTTTGTAGCGGTTTTAATGTAGTTTCTGAATATGTAAATTTTATTTTCTAAAACTAATTTGAGCGTTGACAGGGATGAATTTGCTTTATCGTCGGTCAAACATCGTAAACCGTAAATTATCTAACAAATTGAGACGGAGGGAGTATTTATTTTGCATTTGTAATAATGGCCTAATCTGCTAACTGCAAACATTTAATTTAGTATCTGAAGAAGAAGAATCAGAGGCCTCTGTACGAAGCTCTCCAGATAGTTGAAGAAGGTTCATAGTAGCTTCTTCTCCTCTGCTCTTACTAGCTAGAAACATTCTTCTTTGTATTTGCCCACACATTCTTTATTCTTATTATTAATTGAAAAATTACAATGCAATTATGGTTTTGTAATGAGTGGAGTCTATCCCTTTGTGTCTATATAAGCTATCTCACACTTGTTACAAAATATACTAACTCAAATATAAGTCTTAAGATTACTTCTCTTATTAGGTTGAACTTCTAAATCTCAAATCTTAATATGTGGTTTGACTTAACCTCCAAATGAGACCTAGGATATTCCTATTTCTTTTGTAGCTCATAGTATTAAAATTCATTCCATCTAAAAAATGTCAACATGATAAGAAGGTTATATCGTAGACTTCTTTGAAGTGGAATAGTAAACAAATTGAATCGCTTGTAAATGGCCACATATACACTTAACTAAGAGAACCATAAACAGTAGAGCCAAATGAATGAAACTTCTTGAAGAGTTTAATCCACATCGGCTAGTTGTTAAATAACAAAATAACATATACTACCTCCGTCCCAATTTGATAGTCATGTATCCTATTGACTTGGTTAACATAAACCACTCTTAATCTTTTACTTTATATATCCAACTTTTATCAAATTTGATTCAAGTGCGACTTTGTAAAACTTTTAATGTAGTTTCTGAATATGTAGATTTTATTTACTACAAATAATTTGGGTGTTGACAGGGATAAATTTGCTTTATCGTCAGTCAAACATCGTAAAACGCAACGAGGCTATCAAATTGGGACGGGGGGAGTAAGATCATGTGTTACTCCCTATCAAGTTTAGGGGAGCTCTAGTGTACTTATCTAGCACTCAAGTTATCCCGCCCAGAATGAGCTGAGATGTGTTTAAGTGTTTCACACCTGATGCTTACCATGTCTAAAACTAATATATAGGTTATGGGATCAACCTTAGGTCTTAAGTTTTTTTTTTTGTGTGAGTTAAACCCAGCACAATAAAACTACAACAATGAGAACTTGTTTGAGTTTAAGCTCTTTTAACTTACCTCATTTATTTGAGATTAAGATTCCAACTTTGTTTGCAAATATGTGTGGGGTGCAGAGTTGATGCTGTTGGGGTTCATATCATTGCTATTGACTGTGTTCCAAGGTCGCATAAACAAGATGTGTGTGCCTCCCAATACAATGCATCACATGCTCCCCTGCCCGTTAGCTCAGGAAGAAGCGTTTTTGGCTGCTGAATTGGCTCCTGTTTCCCATGACAAAGAGTTCCATAGCTGGAAGTCACCTCCTGAGCGAGTACCAGGAACTGGTTATTGCGTTGCGAAGGTAAAAAAAAGTATTATGCTTTTTTATCTTATATGTGTTGTAGTTCGGTTGTGTTGGGTCTAAGACACTCCAAAAAAATATCAAGAAGTAAGATTCATCCCATGCTTATGTATTAGTTTTAGATATGGCAAACATCCAATGTGAAACACTTAAATGCATCTGATCTCATGCTGGACGGGATAACTTGACTGTTAGAAAACAAGACAAGTACATTACAACGTCAGGATGAGTAATCCAAGATCTTATATGTTGGCATGTTATTTCATATCTAGCCAATGTGGGACAAACTCTTCAAGAAGTTGCTTTCCTTTGCTCTTTATTGTTTGTCATGGTTCTTTTAGCTATGTGTATATGTGGCATAAGCCAACAGTATACCTAGAACTTAGAGTTGTATATAACTAAGTGCTTTTCCTTTCATAAATACCAGTCATTTCAGCTAAATAATCGTTACAAACCTGCACTGAGTAGAGCTTATAATTCAAGATGTCTTTTTTTATTTGGCTTCATCCCTAGACTGTGCCATTGGTCATATGTCAGGATTGTTATTTCACCAGGGGAATCAAATATATACATTTTACGCTGGATCAGACTAACAATGTATACATACATGTTTTTGCAGCATAAAGTTCCATTACTATCTCTAGAAGCATTGCACCACCTCCACATATTTATATTCGTTTTGGCCATCGTCCACCTTGTGTTCACTGTCCTCACCATTCTAATAGGAGGGGCAAAGGTAATCAGCCCAATCTTAAAACATTCAAGAAGTACTATAGATTCTATCTCTTCAACTTTTGTTATATAAAAGTATGTTAAATCATGTTGTGCATGTAGATACGCCAATGGAAGCAATGGGAGGATGCAATTGCAGAAGCCAATTTTGAGACTGGGCCTGGTATGGGATGTTCTTGGAATGTTTTTTTTTAACATTTACTACCTCATTCCATAAAAATAGTTAAGTTTGTCATACATTGTTCCTTACATGTCTTTTACAATTTACTCCTTATTTCTTCATTGAGTAATTTTGAGAATATAAAGATTTGTTCATAAAATGTTACATTAAACTGTGTTTTTGTAATAATATTGGGGTTGCTTGCAGATCTGCAACCAGGACTCACTGATGTCCGTCACCATGATTTCATCAGGAATCGATTTGTGGGTGTGGGTAAACGGTCGACCATCTGGGGTTGGTTGGTATGCTGTTTTCATTTTACATCCTTTAGCGGTTAAACTAGGGCCAAAAAGCTACTTATTTAGGGCTCATATGGTAAGGAGTTGTTTGGATGAAATGAAGGAATTTTCTTAACATCCATTTGAGCCAAAAAGCTACTTATTTTGCTTATTATGCTAATAAGACTGCCAAATGGAGCCTTAATTTTAAGCGGCTAAGACATTGTTTGATGGACTTAATAGGCAGCGTATATGATTTGAAAGCTTAAGGAATACAATATATAAATGAAATGCTACATATTTCTTTGCCTAATTTAAATAACTCTGATCTACCTTCATTTGTAGCACTCTTTCTCTAAGCAATTTTTTGGTTCTGTCTCAAAGTCAGATTATATAGCACTTCGTATGGGCTTCATTATGGTAACTAACTATCTCTGAATCTCTAATAATTGATTTTGATGCATCTGCTTTGGCATGTGTCATAGTAATTTCTGTATATAGACACATTGCAGAGGGAATCCGAAATTTAATTTTCACAAGTACATGATGCGTGCACTGGAAGATGATTTCAAGAAAGTTGTTGGCATTAGGCAAGTGATAATCACACCATCTAACGGTGTTTTTATTTCAGTAATTAGTAACAATCCTTGCATCATAATTTATACGGTTCCTTTATTTTTTGCAGTTGGTATTTGTGGTTATTTGTCATTTTCTTCTTGTTGCTGAATATCAACGGTATGTAACTGTTTCAGTGTACACAAAAATTATTTTTTAATTACAGTTTAGTGTTACATCGTAAAAGGTGAAACTTATAAGAGGAAGAGAAAGGGGTTAAATGGGGCCTTCTACTATTATGAAATCGTCACATAAGGCCATGTATTCAATAAAGTGTCATAAAAATACGTCTACATATAAAAAGCAATCGGATAAGTCCTAACGACCTGTTGACAACCTAGTAATCCCAGTTTTAGGGTACGTCTGGCTATCTTTTTAAAATAGATTATAAGGCTGACGTGAAATATTTGGTCAGGTTTGGCTTAAATACAAGGCAAAAATAACGACAAGTAAGCTAAAATCGGGATTAGGATGTTGTCAACGGGTTGTTTTGACTCATACGATAGCTTTTTATAAGTAGATGTTTATATATGACACTTTATTGAGTACAATGTGACGATTCCGTAATAGTAGAAAGCCTTATTTGACCCTTTTCCCTAAGAGGAATAGTTAAAGGTTTTATTACTTTTATATGCAGTTTATATTTTGGTATTTGATTGGTACGGGATGACTTGGAAATTTGATCACATTAGATATTTAGATTACATGTGATGTAATAATCCAAATTGTACCTAAGTCCATCATCATTTGATTATGGGACTTATTAAATAGATTCATTTTTGCAGGATGGCATACATATTTTTGGATAGCATTCATTCCTTTTGCAGTGAGTGACATCAATTACTAATCCTCTACTTTCTTTTACTAGTCGCTGTAGAGAATAATAAATTCTTATTAAATAATTACTTTTTTAATTGACGTACATAGAACATAGTACTCGGTACATAGTACCTTATAACATTAATAGATGTAATGTAGTCATATTATACTACAGAGTACTACTTACCGAGTAATGATTTCATGCCACCTACAAGTAATGACTGCTATTCAGGTTTGAGGTTCCATCGTCTACATAGCCACATAGGATAAGTACCTGTAGACGAGTTTAAGTTTGTATCTTTACATTTGGCTGAATGTTATACATGAGTTTGTATCTCTATATTTAGCTTGTGTGAGATGACTTAACAAATTATTGTTTTTTTTTCTTTTACTTTTCACTCTTTTTTTTCCCAGCTTCTACTTGCTGTAGGTACAAAGTTGCAGCATGTGATAATACAATTGGCACATGAGGTTGCAGAGAAGCATGCAGCAATAGAGGGTGAATTAGTTGTGCAACCATCTGATGATCATTTCTGGTTTCACCGCCCCCAAATTGTTCTCAATGTTATACACTTTATTCTCTTCCAAAACGCTTTTGAAATCGCCTTCTTCTTCTGGATATGGGTAAGTACTTCCTGATTTCTTTAATGTCAATTATTTTATGCAGATGAAAGTGAAATATAGATAAGTCAGCTTCCTTATTATACCTCACTGTTGTCAACTCAACAACCAACGATGTAATACAATGTTTTGAACACTTTTGTAGCTGCAATATGGGTTTGGTTCCTGCATCATGGGACAAGTCAAGTACATTGTGCCCAGGCTTCTCATAGGGTATATATTTATCTTGACTTTTAAATGAGGGAATTGGAGTCACACTTCTTTTTCATCCAAATTTGATTTTGGACCCTGAAAGTGGAGAGTAAAATCACAATTTTGGATGCAATATTAATAATTTTAAAAATTAGGTGCAAAACTCGTTTGTATATAAAATTGGGCCGCAAATATAAATGAAGTAAAAAGAAGTGGGTGAATACTCCCATTCCTCCTGAAAATTATAGCATACAACACACTTTTTCTTACAAGTTAACATATTTTTCTAATTTGGAAGTGCAAATATTAATGATTTATAAGCTATGGTACAAACTCAAATTTGAATGGAAAAGTCAGCTCAAACTCCATTTTTTTATATCTACATAGCTCCCCAATTTGTCCTTGAGTTATTTTTAGTAAAATTTGAGATGCCGCCTTTTTCCAGAGTTATCATTCAGGTGCTTTGCAGCTATAGCACATTGCCCCTTTATGCCATTGTTACACAGGTAGGTAACTTTTAGCATTACAGGACCCTCCTGCCTTTCTTACCTCAAAAAGTCAAAACCATGCTAATGAGTTGGGAAGCTTTTATATTCTGTCGTGGGTGAAACGTGGATAAACTATCAAGGTGGTTGAATATGTACTTTTTAACGGTTTATGGAATGTGTAGATGGGAACCTATTTCAAGAAGTCGATATTCGATGAACATGTTCGGGCCGGTCTGGTCGAGTGGGCTCAGAAGGCAAAACGAAAGAAAGAGTTGAAAGTTACTCCAAATGCAGCCCCAAATGAGGAGGCATCAAACGGTCGTTCGTCCACACCCACAAGCGTACAGATGGGAGAGATTTACATGATCAATGAGGAGCGGCAAACGATTAATCATGACGATGATTTGTAGAGTAGTAACCATGTACGAGTTGCAGTGGGTATTTAACCGTATTTTGTTCCTCACTTCCACGTATATACTTTGAAATTCAGTGCATGCATTTCATTTCAGCATTTAATCCAATTTTGGAGACCTCCCAGAAATATTTTATGAGTAATGTTAAATTGAGTTATAGATACAATTTGATTGATAGAATGTATGATTTATGATTCATATTATCTCTTATTACTCAAAAAGATTGGACTTAATGTCAGTTATGCTTAATCAAATCACCACGCAAGTCTTTACCAAAAAATACCACGCATCTACGCAAGTATTGAGCTTTTAGTTTACACATGTTTTGCTAGTTGATGCCTTAGTTGATAGTAAGATGTCATGGGGTACTGAACTTTTCAAATTCATTTACAAAGTCAACATGTTTAGTGTTTTACTATATACTTTTCTATGGTTATTGAAAATAAGGAGTTCAAAAGCTTTATAAGATGATGGAAAAGAGAGAATTGGAGAGAGATCTAGGATATTGAAAGCCGCATAACTGACGCGAAAAAGAAAGATCAGTAAGTGCACGGAGAGAAAGGGATAAAAGCGTAAAAGTAAGGAATGACATTTGTGCACACTTATACATATCATATGTTTCTCTCATTTCTTCTTCATCTCCCTTCTCTCTTCGCTCTCTCCCCCCTCTTTACCCATCCTCATTCGGATATCCAATCAAAGATGGGATCATCTTCTGCTCTTCTTCATCCCCCTCCTCTTTTCTTCGTCCTCTTATTTTCTACTTTCTAATCAATTTTTCATTACTTGCACACAATCAGCTTATTTCTTCTCTATCTTCTATTTTTTTCAAACTACATTTAAATTGATCACACATACAACTACATCATTTATTTGAGAGCATATAAATAATTACATATTTTGTTTACTCATATATTTTTTAAATTGATCACATAGACAACTATTTTTTTTTTTAATTTTTCATTATAGACGGATAACTATTGTTTGTGAGTAATATAATTATTATCTATGTGCTAAAATCTATATGAAAATCTACATTTTGGTCACAGAAAGCTATTGTTTGTGCACGTACGATTATTATCCATGCACACATGTATTGCACATACAGAGATTGATTTATACACAAACATTGATTGTTGTCAATGTACTTTTTGATATAAAAGTTCGTGTTTGAGAATATAGGCAAGAGTTGTCTATTATGTGATCACAGACAAGTTCGTGCTCCAATTGTTTGTGAGCGACAAATACACTCCTCTTTGTTTTTTTATAAATCATAAGACTAATTGGAGTTGTGAGATATTAGGAGTCCAAAATGTTGAAAATGACATTTATGAACTCCTAATTTCATACATTGGTGGGTTAAATAGGGTAGTAAAAATAGATATGGGAGGGATGAGGTTAAATTTAGAGGAGTTTTGACAACAAAAAACAAAACGAATAAGAAAAGAAAAGAAAAAGAAAGTGGTGGCCAGCGGCTCCAGCATATTGCACATGATTTGGATGACGTCGTGATGACCTCACGCAGATGTCATCATAATTCCAAATTGCTTTTAAACTTTTATAACTTTTTTATTTGTTTCCAAATTTTTCAAAAAATATATCAAAATTCATGAATTTTTATGATTTTTCATATGACACCAATATATAACATATAAAATGGGGAAAAAATTCTGAAGATTTAACTGTTGAAGTTTTTTTGAGCCAAAAAACATGAAATATAAATTTTTATTCATTGAGCCTTCACAAATAAGTGAATATTTCATAATCGAACTTTACTTGAAATAAGTTCATTTTTTACAAACCGAAAAACATAAAAAAAATAATAAAATTTATTTATTTTTACATCAAAATGTGTATTTTTTATTTCATACTTATTCAAGGGGGAAATTAAAAAGAAAAGATTACTTACAATAATTTAATTGATGTTTGACTAGATTGATATGTAAAAAATATGCAAAAAGTATTTTATTGACGATGCATGAATGCAGAAAATATAAGTCAAAATACTATATTAAAGAGGTAATTGCCTGAATAGGACCAAATCAATGTTCAAATGCACAAATAGGACTCTCATATTTTATAGGACCAAAAATCAACTTATTAGACAAAATTGCCCTTAATGAAACTAAGGGCTAAATAAATAAAAAAAACGCCCCCAATATTTGACGATGCAGATAGCCGATGCCTGAGCTCCAAATCACCGAGGCACCAACACCTTCAGCATCATACCTTCTGCGCACGGCTGCCGATGTCGAGGCCGCCGCCACCGTTGTCGAGGCCGCTGCCGCTGCCAAGTGAGAGTGTGAGACCGCCGCCACTGAGATTACCGTTGCACACCTCCGGAGAGGCGACTTACCCTTTCCCGCGGCGTGAATGGAGTCATAGCTAAATTCTTCTTCTTAATCACGTTTACCTCCTGTGGAGTGTATAGTATCAATTTAAGGCAAAATTGAAATTATGATAACAATAATGACAAAAAAATGGCATTTCTAGATGTAAACATATGGAATCTTGAGATTATAAATTATGGTATTTTAACATTTTAGAGTTGAAAATGTGAAATAGGAGATGGAAAATGAAGAAGCAATGTTGCCCACAAATTCAATTCAATGCCTAAAAATGCCAAATATTGTGAAAATGTCAAAAAAATGGCATTTCCAAAGATGCAATATTTCCATCTCCATAAAAAATGCCATAAATGTGGCATTTCTTATAATTAGCTAAAGATACACCATAATAAAACGTAGATCTGGATTTTTTGGAACAAGAGCCTCGAAATTTTATACACAAATGTTTTGAATTCAAAAGTCTCAAACCAAAAATAAAATTTCCATTGAGAATCGGATTTTTTTTAAATAAATTAAGAGAAAATAATCATAAACGTAAGATGATCGAGCAAAGAATCGTGGAGGAGGAGAAAGGAGGAGGAGGATAAACGAGAAGGAGAAGAGAAGAAGGAGAAGAAGGAAGAGATAGAGAAGGAGGACACAATTACCTGTACAGAAGTTGGTTGGAGCGATGTGCTGAAGAGAGTCTCTATGCCATGGGAGATGCCGATCGAGAAGTAAGATGCAGAGAAGAAGAAGCCGATCGAGAAGTAAGATGCAGAGAAGAAGAAGCCGATCGAGAAGTAAGACGCGGAAGATGGACAGATCGATTTTATTAAAGCAGGGGTAAATTGGGGATAAGGAGTCCTATTTAGGAATAATAAAACATTAACTCCCATTTAGGAGTTTTGATCATAATTTGGTCTTATTTAGGGGTAAAAACTCTATATTAAAATGAATGAATTAATAAATGGTCTAAAGGAATACTCCTCTTTGTATAATGAGTAATAAATGCCTATTGTTGTAAATTCCTGAGAATGACAAGTGTGAATTGTTCATCCTTGTCATCAGGACATTAATCCAATTTCCATCCTTGTAATAGACAGATGGCTAGGTTTAATGTTACCAGCATATTATATGATTCTTTGATGATTCATCACCAAGCTCCACCAGTATAAATAGGGGTTTGGTGATGCCTTGTAAAGACACTTAGAAATTCAGAAAATATTCAGATATTAAGAAGTAATTTAGAGTTTTCTCTATATATATATATATATATATATATATATATATATATATATATATATATATATCTTAAATTTGATCTTCATCTTCTTCATTTCATAACACGTTATCAGCACGAATCTGCTCAAAATCCTCAGCAATCTCTATCTTCTGCAGGTATTAGCATTAATATTCATTATATATATTCTTTTAGTATTCAAACGTGAAATACGTGTTCAGTTTTTGTTTGAAATTAATCTCCTAGCTCCACTTCATATAGTATAAGAAATTAAACGTACCTTTAAACTGCTTCTCCATCTGAATAAACCCTTCATAAAAGAAAGGAATACTAATGTGCCCCTAGAGTGATATAATACATCTGCACTTGTAGTCTTGTAGTAGGTTAGGAGAATTTGGCTTAAATCATGAAACTTAGCTTGGTGCTTTGGATATACCAATATTCAGTAATAAAGATTTAAAAGAAAGAAAGATGATAAAAGAACTCAGGTAAGATGAGACTCGAGAGTATGTAAGAGAGAAGAGACATAGAACACCAAAAAGTAAGTGTATTCGGACTACATGTAAATAAATAACACACACTTAGATTGTATATTAAATACGAAGTATGAGTCCCAAGTCAGATTGCATGCATCATGGATGTGTAGTCTTTATAAACAAACAAAGAAAATTAATAGCAACAGTAGTCACGAGAGAAGCATAGCAGCTAGCTGACACTTCACGGGTCTTTTATATATACCTGACAAAATTGTGAGTTTATTTTATTCTTATCATGCATGCTTGATGTTTTCAGTTTTAATATTAAGAAAATTGATCGGTGTGTTGTCTGTTACTAGTTACCCCTTAGCACCAAAGCCCCCCTTTTTTTTAAATAATGGTAGATAGATCATAAATCTATAACCTACTGAGTATCATGAACTATGCGTAGGTTGGTATATACTCCGTATATTAATGCTTTAATAAAAACAATCAAAGATGATCCGCTCTACACGTACTTTACTTATGATTTGCCATATTCCACTTAGTAGTATACTACTTAATACATGTACACAAAAGAAGGTTAAATAAAGATTTATATATTCTAATTTGAGTTGATCTCATGAATTATACTTCAAACTATTTTAAATTAACAATTTTGTAGAATATCATGGCAAACATTAGCAAAAGAGAATTCGATGTTCTTGATCTGTCTGGTCAAAAATACCTGTAATGGAAAGTTGATGTTCTAGCACATTTAAAGGCTAATGGTCTCGAAGACACTATTGAAGCTATTAATCAATCATCTTCTCAGGATAAAGCGAAAGCTATAATTTTTCTCCGTCACCATCTCCATGAAAGTCTCAAATCTGAATATCTTTTGGTTGATGACCCAAAAGAATTATGGGACAATTTACAGGAGAGGTATGGCCACCAACGAAATGTCCTTTTGCCTAAGGCTCAGTATGACCGGATCAATCTAAGATTCCAGGACTTTAAATCAATCGGTGACTATAATTCTGCTATGTTCCAAATAACATCTAAATTAAAGTTATGCGGACAAAAAATCACTGATGCTGATA